GAAGGAAGGAAGCTTTACTTGGAAGAATTCAGAAGGACTTTAGGGATGGAAATGTATCCACTGGGACCTGAGACGGCTGAGAAATAATTGTAATTCTCAGCTAACATAACCCTGAGGAAAGCTTTGAGTGTTGTTTTTGTGTTTGTTTAATTTTTTCAATGAGAACAAGTAAGTCAAATGATTTTCTTAATTTGAGGGAAACATGATTTCTGAAAATAGAATTTAAAATTCTTCCACTCATTAGAGAAAAACCAGTAATCAAGAATATTAATACAACTCCAAATTACGTACAAAATTAAAAAGAAAATATTTTAACACCAAAAATAGTAACTGTATCTACCTTCAGGGTCATGAAATATAGGTTACTTTGCTTTTACTTTGAATTTTTAATGTAAAATAATATATTTTTATAAAATGAGCACATGTCATACTTGGGTATCATTTTTTTGTCAGTTCTTTTTGTTTGTTTGTTTGTTTTTGCTTTTTTTGTTTTTGTTTTTTGAGACAGAGTCTCACTATGTAGTTGAGACTGACCTGGACCTCACTACGTAGCCCAATCTGGTCTGGAACTCACAGTGATCCTCCTGCCTCAGCCTCCCAAGTGCTGGGATTACAAGCATGCATCACCACGCCCGGCCATTTTGTCAGTTCTGAGGATTGAACCAAGGGCCTTCACGCTGAGCTACAACCTCAGTCCTTCTTTGATTTTTTTTATCTTGAGCCAAGGCCTACCTGAGTCCCTAAATTGCCCAAACTAGGCTTGAATTTCAATCCTTTTGCCTCAGAATCCCAGGCTAACAGGCATGCACCACCACACCTAGCAATTCTTATAATTTAAAAAGTTACCCGTGCGTGGAGGTAAGACAGTAGAACCCCCACTGTACAGAAAAAAACATTTACTGTATTTGCTTACTGCAGTTGTGCCATACGCTGTGAAATGTATTCTCCCCCAAAGACTCTAGTCTTAAAATTCTCCAGGTAAATTAATAGTTGTGAAATATTTAGAAAATATTTAAGCAATACTTACGGGGGCACTGGTCATTTCTAGACTGTGCACTGAGGAAAGGGCTTTGAGGAGTCTGGAATTCAACAGTCAAAGAAGCTCTCACAAAGTATGATGGGGGCAGAAACCTGGACCCTTGCATGGGAACACATGGAGCAAGGACATTTCAGAGAAGAAGCCACAGAAGCAGAGGTTAAAATAAACTAACCTCACTAGCATAGGAGCCAGCAGGAGGGAAACAATTCCCATGTCCACTGTTGTGTGTGAACAGGCAAGTAGCTGGAGCAGGGATGGAATTATCAAACTATAAAGAATGACTTTCAAAAGAGGATAAACAATGCATTCTTGATGTAGAAAAGAATAAAAACAATGGCAAGTTCTAAACGAGGAGGGGGTATGATTTTTAAGTAATGTGCTTGTAGAAGAAACTAATTCATCACTCAAATCATTCAATAAAATGCTTCAAAGATGGATTACACCCTCGCCGTTCTTCGCCTGCACATGGAGGAAGACAAGCGTGGATACAGTGGCAGGGTGGGGTGTTACAATAGTGCAGGTGCTAGAGGGTTTAAGAGTAGGTAGTCTGCTTGTGAGTTTAGAAAGTGAACTTGCTGGGAATATGAGCTGGGCTACGCAGAGGCATGGGGAGAAGAGGGTTGAGGACTGGTCCTAAAGCGTCTGAGTTTTTTGCACGCACATGTTAAGACACAGAGGGAGATCTGTAAGAGGATCACTCTGGGGCAAGGGAGCTCATCAGTTCCACACTTGTTGTTTTTGAGGCTGAAGCCCTTTGGCAATCGTCAAATGAAAAATGTCACATTTAGGTCCTGCAGTGCCAGTGGGGGAGTCTTAAAGCTATAACCTGGGGTCATTAGTACACAGATGGTCATTGAAACGGCAGGCTCAGAGGCAAAGAGAATCGAGTGGGGGAGAGAACAAAAAGAGTGCTTTGGCTGGATTAGAAAGCGACTAGATTGACTGAAAAAGAGGAGCTCATTCTATTACTTACAAAGCATTAGTGAACACAGGCAATATTTTGACAGTTGTCCTGGCGTTACACAGCTGCTGCAACCCAGATTAGTATTTTGGGAAGTGGCACTGGTAGCAAATGGAAAATAAAGTCAAAATATACATAACTTGAATGTTACCCCCCAATCTAGATCAATAGTGACATGAAAATGCTAATGTACAAAGGTTTCACTCCGAGTTATAGATGTAGATTCGATCTCTAGTCCATTGGGACTTTACATATCATATATTTATGAGGAACCTCAAAAAAGAATAGAATGATAACCAATCTCCCAAATCATATTCCCCAAGAAGTCTCCAACTGGGCTGTTATAAAATGAGTTAGCGGAGAGGAAAAATGCATGTTGATGTCTGGCACATTTCAGATAATCAACCTAGCAGAACTCTCTTTTTCTGATTATTCAAAAAAACCATTTAGGGGTCTCTAGAGCTCCAATCCCAGTTTTTCCTGCAGTGCACAGATACTGGACAGACTGCAGAGGTAGAGGGATCATGGAAAAGAAAACCGACACAGACAAGGATGGACCAAACTCCCTCATGACCCTCCAGTCCCAAGCCAGTTATGCCAAGGACTTTGCAGACTAGAACTGAATTCCTTTACAAATGTGTAGAACTTTGAGAAATTGTGCTTCTCTCCATGCACCCAGTGTACTGGTTAGGCCTTAACACTGTACCCAGAGTCAAGGTCATTAAACTGAGCACATCCTGGCCCAAATTTTTGAGTAAGTTGGCCCCATTGGCCTTTAAGTTGTATATCATAAGTCCTCTTTGAAAAAAATTGTACACACACACATTTAGAGTACTGGGACAGCACCATCTGCTTATTTATGACTACATCACCTTCCAGCACTGTGAGGTCCTTTAAAATATAATGACATGACTGATGATGAGAAATTAAGTGAATGAGGTAAATGCTCAGACAAACGTCTGTGGGAAAGCAATTTGCCTTGGAGTTCTGACTTTGTGCTTCTGTTTCTCACGCACACTGCCACTCGAACTATCATGAAAGGTACGTATTAACCAGAACCCACGCTGAGAAGACAATATCTTCATTCAGCCAGTTTGTTGTTTCCTCTTGCTCACACCCCAAGTCGGGGTAAGAAGGGAAGCTAAAAAAATTTACAAAATTTACAGAGGGGGCTAAGAATTGATTCCCTTCTATTTTGTAAATTCTTGAAATTGTCATCTGAAAAGAGACCAAGAGTCAGGTACAGGGACTGGAAATGATTGGGGGACGTGCAATTTTCAGGTTCATCCAAAATGTGGGGATAGTTATTGTTCTTTCTCTAGAGGAAAGAAGGTTTCTCTAATGCAGGGCCTAACTCAAAGGGGTCAGATTGTCTGCCCTACCTGAAGGGTCCAGGTGCTCTGAGGGTTTCAGGGGGCCGATTTGCAGCAACTCTCTAACACAACACGGGCCAGGTCTCCCTGTCTCACATCTACCCCTTCCTCCTGTTCCTTCAAATACCAGGAGTTCAAGTACACAAAAATCCACCCAGCTTGCCCAGATCAAACCCTCTTTCCCATGGAGACTCCAGCTGTGCTTCCCCGGGCCCATCCTCCTGGTGCCTCTCCTTCTCGCCCTGTGAATCGAGTGACATGTATGTGCACGACCCCGTGAGTGTCTTCTACTCACGCCATTGACCGCTCCCACGTTTTGCTACCATATGTGAGACGTCTTCCAGGCTGTATTTTGAACACAGGTGTCCCAGTCCGGCCTGGAGCGTGCGCCCCCTTTTGGCGGGAGAAGGCAGGAGGCGTGCAGGGCCCTGCCGGGTCCAAGCTGCGGCGCTGATCATGAGCCTCCTCCTAGAAACCTGAAGGCTTAGGCCACGGTTCAGGTGGGAGTTTGCACCTTTTCCTGGGAAGACCCAGACCATTGAAGCCCCAAATACTGTGGGTGTTGTGTAAGATGAGAAACCTGCATTGAATTAATTCTTCTACCTGTTTCATGCCTACTCCTTGCACAAAGGTAAAGCAAGCCTTGGTGTGAACTCCATTCCTGCATCAAAGTTTCAGTATATTTCCCTCTTTCTTGCCCACTCATTAAGAAAACATCCAATTTCTTGTAAATAAGTCCATGAAAGCAAAAATAAAACAGGTATAGGACTTGTCGTTGCCCTTTCTAATGACTTAGATCTTGGAGATTCAAATTAACACACATATTCCAAATCTATCATTCATCTGAAGCTAAACCTACCTGATATTTATTAATAATCTTAAAAATAAGTCTCAAACTTCTTGGGATTTAGAGCTTGGGATATTATGCTGTGTAGCAGAGGGGCTGGAGTATCTAGTACCCAAGTGATGTATTCTGAACATAACCGAGACTGTGACTGTATTCCTGAACCGATCCTGATTGTCCTCTGCCTCTTCTGAAATGCCACTTGTGTATGTGGTTGATTTGTTGATGTGACATGCCCTTTGCTTTCTTTCACAAAGTTCCCTTAGCTAAGCATCGTTCGTGCCATAATTCCCTCCCGTGTATTAAAGTGGCTCTCACCCTTGTAATTAGCCTCACATTTTTTTCATTAAGAAAAAGCAATCCCAGGGGCAATGAAATATAATAACCTTTTTACATCTTAAATTTAAAATTGATAGCCCATCGTTGTATGACTACTGCCTCGAGGCTGCCGTGGTACATCAGACAATTTATACTAAGAGTTACTGGTACTCAGACCACAGTTGCCATGGCCGAGGGCTCAGCAACTTCACAGCGAACGTGCTAACCCAGAAATGCTGGTGACTGTTTGTCCTCAGTCCTCTCTGAAGTGTATTTCTGCATACACTGGTTTAATAAAAAGCAGCAATTAAAGCAAAGGAGATTGTGATGCTTCGTTGATGTTTTTATGACTGTTTGAGAGTGCCGGTTTTTAACTGGATGTTGTTAGCCTACACAGTGTGATACTTGATTTTTCGGTGATAAAAATTCAACGCTGGTGATATATGCATCATCTTTATCTTGTAGAAAAGAGAACCGAAACACATCCCCGGGAGTGGTAAATGGCTGCCTCAAAGTGAAATACAGAATCGGAAACAAAAGTCCAGCCAAACTGTCACACGGTCCATTCACAGGTAAATGTTTTAACGTGGAATAGCTGCACGGAGTTGGGCCCGTATCCAATTTTTGTTTGTGTTTTGTAAATGTCTATCTTTAGCTTTAAGGATCCTATTGATTATGCTTACAAAGACTTGGCTAGAGAATGCTGAGCCTCTGCATTTTACTTTTTCTTCAGGGAACGGTACTCTTCCCCCAAAACAACCTACTCTGTTGTCTGCAATAATCGCAACAGTGCACATAAATCCAGTCTTATCTCCTTCTCTACAGTACTGTAGATTTCAAAGTGGCATTATTCAGATAGCTTCTGCTTGTTCCAACCCTTCTAAAGATTAAAAAGGTGCACATTCAAGAGCGGTACAAAGTAGACACCAGCAGGAGCTGCAGACACAGGCTGAAGTTTGGGCACAGACTTTTGCAAGAACCGGGTACACTCGCTGTAGTGCTTCTGCCAAGGAGAGGTTTTCCAGGCCCTGCTTTGGGGGTAGCTGGCTAATGGAGCAAGCCAATGAGAAGGGCACAGCAGAATTGTAAAAGTGCCATCCATTTACAATATTAAAAATCAAATTAGTCTAAGGACCCTGATGGTTGAAAATCTGCGGCTGTCATTTAGTACAAAGGGGTCCCGGAGGTGAAAAATAGTAATCTATACTGGAATCTCTGACCCCAGCAAATCCGTGTGGGAAGAATAGAAAGAAAGGCGTTCCTGCTCCTGAATGGCCTCTTCTGCGAAGGGCATGAGCGGTGACATCTTGTTGGTTTAGAGTTGATTTATTCATTAGTGTTGTAAAGTCTGAAATGATGCCCCTGGGAAGACAAAGGAACTCCAAGGACCCTGTGACCCCCGCTGCCGCTCCGGTGCAGGGAAGGTGACTAGCACAGGTCGCCTGGCCAGGCCAGGATGTCAGTGTGTGACGTCCAGGCACTCCAGAGTGCAGAGGGCTTCACCCGTAAAGCGGGCAGCTGGGGCCGCGAACCCCCGATGTCTAGGGCTGGAGAGCCAGAGCCCCACGAGGATTCGCGGGCTCTGAGACTTCAGAGGCGCCTCCCTAACACCTTTAAGTCCAAGTTGTCGTCCTTTGCCCCAGAGCCAGTGGGGGTCACCGGACAGGGCATTTCTCCAAAATTTTAAGAGGAGACCACTCACCCCCCTGCTCTCTGATTGCAAAATAAACAGGATTCGCCACTGTCTTCGAGTTAGGCTTTGGGAACTCAGAGGTCGCCCCTGATTTGGGGTTTTTACCTCTGCCCGTCTGAAGTGAAAAAATGTCCAGGCTATCCTTAAAACGATATATTTTATTGGCTCCTCTGTTGCACTCAGATAACTGAAGCTCGATTTCAAATTCAGAACCCTTGCAAGGTCAGGAACCCCAGGGCGGTGGCCCGCAAGACGCTTGTGGCCCCGTCAGCGGGGCTTCAATGTCAGCTGGGCAGCGCCCTAGAAAATGTTACCGCTCCCCTGTTCTTTCAACCGAGGTGGCGAAGAGAGTGTGGCCGGCGGGCTGGGCTGGGCGGTCGACGCTGGCTTCGTGAGCCTCTCTCCTTTGGTGACAAATTGATTTCCCTCGCGCTGCTCGGTGCTGGAGTCTGGCCTCCCCGGCCGGTGCGCGGCAGCGCCGCTGGGGAGAGTGCCTTGAGCGCACGCGTGTCTAATTGACTTTCCGTCCACCTTTTTATGACTACATGTGTTTCCAACAAAAGGTCCTATTAGGACAATCTGGTTTCACTAATTTAGAGGTTGGGGATGTGGAAGGCAGGAGTTGTTTTCGTTTTTTTGTTTGTTTGTTTCCCAGAAGTTGAGATCAAGAAATGACAGGGAGAGGCACTGTCTTCCTAGAAGTTGGCTTGCCCGTGTTTATGACCTGTTCCTCTTTTCTCCCCTTGGCTGCCCCTGTCCTGCCATCACCCCCATACCACATTCTCACTTAGACACGGGATTGCTAACAGGGTTAAAGAACCCGTGAGTTTGAGAAATTTGCTGGGTTGGAAGAATCAGCAGAGAAGGGAAGCAATTCTTCTATGGAAAGGAAGATACCCTGGATATCGATGAAGAGGAGGGAGTCTGGGTTGCTGAAGGAGGTAGGAAGGTCACAGAGAAGTCCTCCTGACTTTGCACAATGCTTAGCTCTTCTTTGCTGCACTCAGAATATTGAAATTCAAAATGTTACAAAATGGAGAGTCCAGTATTGAAGGTAGTAGAACAGGTAGTAGAACCTGTTTTGCTCATTTCCACTAACTGAAATCTTACGTAGCACAAGCATGTTCTGGAAAAGGCAAAGGCAGCTTTCCATTGCGCACTCTCTCAGACACTCTTTTTCCCACCCTGCGGGGCTCCCTCAGCTCAGGTGCAGTCGGCCTTTCTGTCCCTTGCTTCACTCCTGGTGTAACCCCTCAGTTTGCTAAAGCCAGCACCGCTGCTCCGGCTCTTCTCTGCCTCTTCCCTCTTCCCTGCTCCCCAGTCTGAGCCTCCCGGGCTGGAGGCCCCTGTGGACCCCACAGGTCTGGGCGTCCAAGTAGCTCATAACAAAAACTTGCTTTGAAACTCCAGGTGGGAGCCCAAGAATTCGGAACAATGGTCCTCTGGCCCCTTTGCTATCACCAGACATCCCATTCTCTCCCCATTCTCTTCTTGGAGAAGAGGAAGGTTGAGGAAACATTACTTATAAAAGCAACAGACCGTTAGAATAACTCCCTGGCCACCTCTCTGGGAAGCAAGGCCTGTAGTCCTAGGTGCACCACCATGTTCTGCATTCTGTGACTTCTCCCAAAACTATTTATAGACTGTGCTTTGTGCTGTGTCCCCTCCCTAACTAGCCTTCAGAGCCTCAGTTTCTTTTAGGTGAGCTCCCCCCACAAGGCCTCTCTGTCTGGTTAATAAGAGGTGAGCTTCAGTATAAGGGAAGCAGTTTCCCAGAGTCCTAGCCCCAACTTTGTTCACAACCCTGAGCCTCTCCTCACAAGCCTCAGCTGTTGCCTTAGTGGATGATTTGGCACCAGGGCCATCCAGGTCTCCCAGGAGCCTTTGCGAAGCCCTAGGTAGCCTCCTAGCCACCAGCCACCATGCCAGCTTCCAAATCTGCACCCAGCTCTGCAGCCATCCATCTTCCCCTGCTCAGCTTTTACTGGCTCCACAGCCTTGACAAGTCCACAGCTCCCTTCTCTAGCATCCACTGGAAGAAGCAAAACAACTAGACCTGCCCTAAAGTATCCAGCGTTCTTATCCTGGCCTGCCTGGGTCCTGGGCTTGCTGAGTGTGCCTGCTTTCCCACCCTCCTGCCTTCTCTTGGGGCAGAGAGGCACTGTCACATTTCTTTGTCCCACCCTGGTCTACACAGCAGTTTCTTCGAAGTCCTATTTTCTGTGGGAGTCCAGCCTACAGTTCTCCAAACAGTGATAAATGTTGTGATTACTGATTAGGCACGGCAAGACAGGAACCTCAGAATTGCAGAATCTGTGAAGCCAGGTTCCGAACACCATTCTTGTATTTTTCACGTTTTCCCTCGTAAAACGTCCGAAAGAACAACAGTATTTAGAATTGCATTTTGTAGGAAACACTTTACAAATGCTGCTGAACCATACAGCAGGAGCTTCTGAAACTCTAAACAGAATGCCTCTGCCTCTGAACCAACCCTTACGCAGGGTTTGGGGACACCGACTCTTCATTTCTCAAGACTGGCTGCCTTTCTCTACTAAAGACCAGGTCAGCCTGCTCCAGCATCCACTCTGCAAGAGTGAGTGGCATAATAGGGTGGGGTGGCCCCAAATCGCCTCTGGGTAAAATCACTCAGCCCGGCACCAAAGCTGAGCTGAAGAATCAGGGAAAGGGGCAGACTTCTCCCATCTGCTCTGCAGTGCCTGCTGGGCCCCCACCAAGGTGCCCAGGCCCTTTCCAGATCTTCCTGAGCCCAGTTTGCTCTTTATATCTATATTTTTTGAAAGTCTGATATGGGTAATGTTTTGTGAAAATCGTAAAACATTGGCGGCTCCCAAAGTTTTCAAATTTCAAAATAGCAATAATGGTACAGAAGGCGATCATTTAAGAACTTCAGGTCAAGTTCGAATCTGGGCAATCTTGAGAAGAGAACAGGACTAACTGTGTGCGTCAGGTGACAGTATTGTTACACATTCGGGGACTACGGGATACATTTCAAAGGCCAAGTTAGTAAGGAGGCCAGCTTTTCGCAAGACGGATCAGTCCGAGAGGATGGGGAAGGAAGCTTGTATTTGGATTTTTCTGCAGGTCTAGGGCCAACAGGCAGAGAGAACCTGAAACGAGACTCTGGCCTCAGCTCTGTAGCCAGCGATTCCCTTGCGTCTGTGCCCGGTGCGGGATCACACGGGGCTGGGTCGCGGGTGCCACCTCTAAAGACATTCGCGATGCTTCTCCCGAGTGCGCAAGAGTCCACGGGGCTTTTCGCTCTGCCTCAAACCCCTTGGCAGGTGGAGGCGACAGTGGGGCACAGAGCAGCGTGGGGACCTGAAGGCCCGATCCCTGCGCCGCGCTAACCCAGCCCGCGTCCTGCCGAGTCTGCTCCACTTCTGTGACCCGCAGCCTTCCTAAAGCGGCCCGCGGTCCCGATCGCGGATAGCGCCCGGGTCGGACCTGTCCCAGCCCTTGGGTGCCCGGTCAGGCAACGTTCAGGCAATGACGCTCTCGGACACGTCG